GAGAAGTATCTCCCCTTCAGGAGCTTCAGCCTCAGCCTCATTAAGGGTTCCACACTGTATTCCGACTAGACCATCGACACCCTAGACCTAGAGAAGTATCTCTCCCCTTCAGGAGCTTGAGCGTCTTAAAAGGGGCCCCAAAAGGTTTTCTTAGAAAGAGGAAGACCAGAAGACTGCCAAAATAACCAAGTTTTAAGAGCCAAAACAAGAAAAAACAAGGAAGGTAGATCACAAGCAAAACTTACTTTTTTTCCCTCCGCCGTCAACATCCTAAACTCATGTTATAAGGTTTTGGGTGAAGTCCCACAATGAACACAACCCTCGTGTTTAGTTGTCATCATTAAATTTGGAACCCTAAGGGAAGAAGTTAAGCAAACAAAGATCTTCTATGAGCATCTCCAAGAGAGGAGTTACAGTATACAAAAATTTTAAAATTTAGTTATTTTACCCTAAAATTTCACTCCAGAATAACATCTCCAAAGTATGTAAAATGACATTTTGTTACAGTGACACTCTAAATAACATGTATAAATACTTTATAATATTTTTTTTCTCTCCTCCTTTCCTTTCCTTCATTCTCTCTCTTTCTTCCTTTCACTACTCCCAAAGAAAAATAATACAAAAAAATTGAGAAATAATATTTAAAGGAAGTAGTAAAAATATAAAAAATATGTTGGAGTGTGTATTGAAAAAGTGAGTAGTTAAAATAGTAAATTTTATTTTTGAGTAACTAAACTAACTTTTATTGTTTGAAATGCTTTAAATTCAAAAACCAAGAGATCCAATTGTTAACACAGTTTTGAGAACTAAGTATTGCTAAACAATTTCTAACCAATGGGAGATTCTAATTTAGATATCTTCTTTTGTTCTTTATTTAACATCTCAGATCGGTTCAACCAGGGAACGTGTACTCCCTCTAGTGCTTTAAAAATTTCTTAATGAGTGCAAGTAATGCACATTATTTTATCGGTATATATATTTTAATGCTTAAACAAGGATTCAAAATACTTTAGTGTGATATGTTAAAGTGAAAATTGGGGTTGAGTCCTTCTGGATGGTTTTATAATGGGTTGAGTATGTCAAGGAAACTTATTTGGTGATAAGTCTGGTTTTTATTACTAATAAGTATTTAAGTCCACTATTTTTTTAAATTTCAAAAATACCCTTAACAGTGTTATTCTGCTTAATTATAGAAACCTTAAAAATCTTGAAAATAGTTATAAATTAATTTCTTAAATTAAAAAGTATTATCTTTTAATTCACTCCTAAACTGAAATTGAAATTTATATTCTCTCTCTTTCTCTCTCTCGTTAGAATAAGATCATCACTCCAATACAATATATCTTTTCCTTAAATATCATTTCTTCCTCCATAGCATCAAAATCAGTAGAATTTAGAATATTATCAACAACTATCATATCTTCTATTGCGTTCTGGTCATCATGAACTTCTATGTCGTTGAATTTCAGAAAAAGAAAAAAAGGTTGAAAAACTTGTTCAATGTGTTATTAGTTTAATTCCCAATTTTATTTTTATACTTTTGATAGATAATCCCAAATTTTTTAATGTTTTATGTTATTACGTTTTTTGTTGACCATGTTACTATTTTTTTTCATGTTATTATTTTTTATTGAAAATATTATTACTTTTTTAGTGTTATTTTTTTGGAGGCTTCTTCCTCTGGTTATGAGTTTAAATACTATTATTTTTATTTTTAATTTTGTTTAATGTTTCATATTGCTATTTTTCTTTTGTTAAACATGTTACTATTTTTGTTAAGCATATTACTATTTTTGTTGAACTTGTTACTATTGTTATTTTTTATAAATATTAATATTGAATGTTACTATTTTTTTATGTTTAAATGTTACTATTTTTTTGCGTTTAAATGTTACTATTTTTTGTGTTTAAATGATATTTTTTTTTTTGTATTTGAATGTTACTATTTTTTATTTTTAATGTTACTATATATATAATCCTAACCTATATATGGATATAGATAGATATGAGAGAGAAATTTTTTTAATGTTAGTCAAACTCTTAAAATTTAAGAGTTTTTAATTTTTAATTTTATTTCACTTCTAAAGGGAAGGAATAATCTGATAAAATTGACAAAAAATGAACTTCATAACAAATAAGTTTTCTTGGCATAAATCCATATAGAAGGACCGACCTCAAAATTTTTCTAAGTTAAATTGGGGTTGAACCCAATGTTTAGTAATTCAGCCCAAATTTAGATTGGATCCATGAGCCTGAAGTCTCAACCTTTTTGGGCTGGGTTCATGTTAGCCTGCTCAAGTTACACCTTTACAAAATAGATTTGAGACCATTTAAATTAGAGATATATAGAGGTCGATCCCCTTATATAGCCTTATTTGGAGATAAATTCGTCAAGCAAACTTATTTGATTTTAAGTCCGTTTTTTGTTAATTTTACTATTGTAACACTTTTATGTGAAAAATGTTATAAACGACATTTATGGACACAATAATTAACAATATACATCTCATTCATAATCGCTTTCAAATCCGGCTACAATCTTCCAAGCCACAATGTTTCCTTATTCAAAAAACAAGAAATCGAAATTTACAAAAAACCGTTCATATTTAAATTTCAAACTCATTACATTCCATAAAAGACAATTTTAATTTACTATTCCAGTTTACTTTGGACTTCATCTCCAAAATATTAATATTTAAAAAATAACAATAGTAACATACTCAACAAAGACAGCGAAATGATCATAAAAAAAATAATAACATGCTCACAAAAAAATAGTAACATGGTAAAAAAGTAATAACAATTATAAATTTAATTTTGTCAAAGTGTGCATTAACCTTGTAACCAAGGTTCAAGAGAACTCATATATTAGTACTAAATTCAAGTGTTATAGATTTCAATTTTGTTGATTTTTTTGTTGCGTAAGACAATCGAGTATTTCTTGATTGTGTTACTGTGAAAAAAGTTCATGTTATTGTACGTGAATAAAAAAAATGGAGTTTAGAGTTTCGATATCTTGATGTTTATAATTGGTGTTGAGTGTCGTAATTCAACTGTCGATTGTGTGTTACTACTCGTCATTTTATAAATTTTTATTTTGTGGATCGTATTTTCACTAAAATCATTCAAAAATTGATGTTACTGTAAAAAAACTATTGTCTTGTAGTTTGTAAAATTAGATGTGTTACTGAGCACAAAACTTTAATGCTACTATGAATATTAAAATGTATGTTACATAATATACGTCTCAAGATTTGTAATTGTATGTTAAAATTCACTATAGTAACATTAATGTCAGTATAGTAACACAATCCTAATTGTAACTTCAATCATATAGTAACATGAATGTTACTATATATTAAATCATATGCATTGTTCAACCTCCCTATATTATGCATTACTGTTGTTAGAAAAAATTTGTTATCTGATTTTTGACTTAATAGATCAACAATTTATTCGTACATTAAACTTCTTATATATAACTAACAAAATATATAACTTCCATATAAAATTTCAGTTAATTATCATAATATTTAATAAACGGTTTCCATATATAACTTAATCAAGAGTTTTCATATATACTTCAATGTTCTAACCTATGTGACTTTCTATAAATGTATAAAACTAATACCGTTAGGGGTAATTTTGAGATTTAAAAAATAAGTGACTTAAGTATCTACATATAAGTTTAAACATGAACTTACCCCAAATAAATTTCATTTTAGAACTCAAGTCATTATAAATCCATCTACGAGGACTCGCACTCAATTTTTACTTTAAATTATGTGCAAATTAATTTTTTGTACCAAGCTTTCGCTATTTCCTTGGGTCTTAAAAGAGCCAAACCCTTAAGAACCTAATCATTGATATTTGGGTAAGACTTTTTTAACAAGAATATCATTTCCCAATTTGTTAATGAGGTAGGACACACTGTTTTATATAAATATAAATAATGAAGTACTTTGTACAACTAGATTGTAGTACAAAGTACAAGAAGTTCTAGAGCAGATCTAGCACAATCACTCGTTCTGTAACAAAGAGAGAGTAGTACGAAATACAAGCATTAGTGTTACTATTATCACTCGTTCTATAACAAAGAGAGAGTAGTACGAAGTACAAGCAATAGTGTTACTATTAACACAAGGTCTTAATATTGTCGACTGTCAAGTGTGTGTGTGTGTGTGTATGTGAGAGAGAGAGAGAGAGAGAGAGAGAGTTGGCAGTAGAAGTTGAAGCTCTAGGAGGACTTAGGTGCGGAAGATGATGACAGAGTGTTGATGTCATTTGGTATCAGAAAAATTGCAAATTGATCAAACACACTATCATCGTCTTCAGCGCCCATGTCCTACAATAGCTCACCGTTTGTGATTGCGTTTTTTCTTTTTTTTTTTCCAAATCCTTCATTTTTACAGGATTCTTGTAACAGGAACAAGAATGCTACATGATTCTTGTTTTTGCTTGATTTTGCTCCTTTCTAGATGTGTGTTAACGTTGTTTCATCAACATATAAGTGGTTGGTGGTTTAGTTCAGACTCCAGAGAGAATAAATCTTCTTAAATTTCTGATTGTGTGGTGTAGGGTCAGGGACGGATTTACAGCGGGGCATTGGGGGTGGGGACAACTAGAGTGCATTAACACCAATCATGCCATAATAGAAAGATTTGGTTCAATCAATGACGCAGTGGTAAACGGAGATACCACAAAACTTGTTCACCTCGACGAGACAACACCAATTTCAAGTATTTTTTACCATTTTTGGAAATCAATGGCTCTTAGGCTAAGATTTTGAAGAGTTTACTTGGGATATTATGGAAGACTGACTTTATTGCTTACTCTTCAAGAGATGGGGTTATGTTTGAACGCCGTTTGAACAGTCTTTTGATGATGTGTATCAACATTGGCTAGTGGCTAGTTGTTTGAACGAAACTCAAATAAAATAATTACAAATTCTTGTTCTACCTCAATCACCCAAAGGCAATTCTATCTTCAGGACACCCCATTCAGCAGGGGCAGAGTAGGGTAGGGTAGTCAATAGCGGTTCTTAGTGGAGTAGTCCTTGGGAGCTGTAACTGGACCACGACCTTCCTTGCACCGCGGGACACAGTATCAATAATGTCAATGAGCTCTTGTTTATCCTTGAGAATCCACTTGATCTTCTTGTTGTTTCTTGTGCCAAGATCAATCATCATGTGCTTGTTCCTGAAGAAGAACATGACTGTGGATGAGTCATAGAATTCATACATAGTGTTGAAGTCAGGCACCTCTGTGCGTGCTAGATCTTGCACAATATAAAAACGAGAACAGATCTCTCCCTTGGTGAACTCGAGTGAGTCAGTTGAGTGGTCAACCACACTGCTTGGAACAATCTGTGAGATCCGGTGGTAACCTGGAACGGTAATGGGAGACCCTCGCGGATCAAAGGAACGATCCAGTAAGGCTGAAGAAAGGTTCCTGGAACAAAGAAGAACAAGTTAGAAGGGCGTCGGAGTGTTTTCCGGCGTATCCCCTCCGACGATCAAGTCAGTTTTTGAGAGAGAGGAAGAAGAAAACACTGAGTATAATTTGTAGCAAAAGTTTCACCTCCCGTTCTTGCCTTTAGTGAGGAGTATTTATACCTCAAATACTCATGATTGTTGTCAGTGTGGTCAGTAGATGATCATTAGATACAGGCAATGTGCGCACTGATTCCTATGAGGAATGTCTTCTCTTTTAACTGCTCGGGACCCCGAACAATCAAGTCTGTGTCATCGGTCTGCCGACGGTTCAATGAGCTCCTCTCGGGGAGGATGCAATAAATGTCCAGCCTTAGAGACATTTATTGCCTTTCACTTCTGAGCCTTACCGCATTGAATGTAGTCTCATCAAAGGAATGATGTAATTAAATGCTTGTTTTCCCAAGTCGCGTGTCAGCAAGGTCATGCGGGCTTTCTGTTTCTGATGTGACACAATATGCCACACGTCCATTCCTCATTGGCTGTGGCCCCTGCCTTTCTATGCTTTCTGATACCAATTGTGTAAGACGAGGTCATGATAGCTAACCTAGCCTAGCCTAGGCTAGTGACCAGTGCATCAATAACCTCTGCTGGAGCAGAGAACTTCATCATGGATGAAAAGAGGTACATCTCGGAACCGAGGAAGAGGTACATCTTGAATCCGAGAGGGGGGGAGGCCTAGCGACCGATGTACCATATCAGACTGAGGGTACGTGTCAGTACATAAAAACGTATTGGATGCCACTCGATCCATGATAAGTACATCGGGGTAGAGGGGACTTGTGACCCCCGATGGGTACGTGATCTTCGATAAACAAGGATCAGTGACACCGAGGACACGTGTCTTCATCTTGGAGTATTCCGGAAATGTCCCATCAACCTCAGTGATGTCTACAAGGTATGTCACTGCATAGTTCTTTATTTTCTCAGCAACTGAAGCCAACACCTCATCCATGTGCATGCATGTTTCGTCCCAGTCTTGGCCGAATCGGATGACGACGAGGCGTTCCTCTTCGCCGAGAATGGCTTTATCGACTGCCCATCCTGAGTGAAGGTGTTGTAGCAAGTACGACATCTTCACCTCTACAAAGATGACGACAAAGAAGAAGATGAAGACGGCGAAAAATATTGCGGCAAAACAACGAAACAATGAGACCTCGTTGACAACTACAACACAAAAACCAAGGACGGAGGCGTGTTTGGGTTGAAGCCCAAAGTAACCAAAAAAAAAAAATTATCACTTTCATACAAGCCTACCAATCCACTAAAAACATTCCATCCAACCCAACGCAGCCCACCCAACCCAGCCCACTAAAAACATCCCAACGGCTACTTGCAAATTCTTCAAAATCAGTCTCTTGTCTCTCTCTCTCTCAGACTAGTCTCTCTTAGTCTCTTCTCTTAGTCACTTTCCCCAAAATCATATATGTCTCTCTGTCTCTAGTTGTTTGATTTTGCTCTTTGTTCAAATGCCGCCAACAATCTATTCAATCAAATACCCTTGAATCACACACATATCTGTTTTTCAGGCAACTGTTCGAATCAAATGCCGCCCACAAGTTGTGCCGCTGTTGTCTTCGTCATTGGTGTTACAATGGGGAAATAAATGGTTGAGGATTGAAGGCGGAAAAAACAGGTAACAGGATTTTGATTGCATGATTTAGTGGACACTCATTCTAACGATGAACCTCTTTATTTGTGGCTTTATTAGTTCTGTGGGGCATTTTTATATAGTAGTGCTAATTCCATATTATTTGAGTGATTTTTTTTTTGTGTGGCTGAATCAACTTTAATAAAGTTGGTAAATTTATGGGTAGGGAGCTCTCTATTGTTATATTATATGGTAGAACATAAGGTGTGGAAGTGATGGAGCTAATCAACAATTCAATGAGTAATCTTTAGGATAATGTCAGCTTGTCAAAATATTGTCATTTGGGGTTAGGAACAAGTAATTTTTAGTCAATGAAATGACTAAAAACATGATGAAAAATATACCTTAGAGATTGACATATGAGTATATAAAAAAAAATGTTTAGCTTAACTTGAGATAAACAAAAATCTTGGCTCCGCCCTTGACAAAAACCTATTATAGTTCTTATATAATTATAAGGATAGGAGTAAACCCTTTGTCATATTTATATCTATATTTATATTATATTATACTACTTTTAAATGTCAACAAAAGTGAATAACTTTTGTTTAACCAAATACTCTCAACAAAATAGTTAATGTTTATCCTATTTTTTCTATAGTTAATAACATTATTAAATTATATATAATTGACACACTTATGTGGACCTTTGAGTTGCAATACACCTTTTGTATCTTTTATATACCTTTTGATAGCTTATTGATATTGATATGAACTTAATTACGTATAGAGGTAATTAACTCCTAATGCAATTGCAATAGATGGGTCTATCTTTTCATCTTCTGCCATCATGGTAATTAACTCTGATGTTTCGTTTGATAAAAAAAATGAAAAGTAAGAAAGATGAAAAACAGGAGGAATACATTTTCTATTTTTCAAAAAAGAAAATAAGAATGCTACACTTTCCTTCCTTGTGTTTAGTAGGATGGATGAAAAATAAAAATAATTAATTTTTTTTTTGTTCTTATTAAGATTAAGAGTAACAATTAAGTTGTGTCGTGTCAGATTTGTGTTGAGTCATTACGAGTTTGTGTCGAATATTAGTCAAATCTAATTCAACTCATTTAACTAATTATGTTGTGTCGTGTCGAGTTGCGAGTTAATGTTTATTTTCGTGTTGTGTTCGTGTTCATATTTGTTTTAACCCTCATAAACTTTGAATAAAAAATTTAACGATAATATTCTATTTTCACTTAATTGAATTTATGTTAATATTTTTTCTATAAACTAAAAATTAACTTAAATAAATATAATAATAATAAATACAAATATCTTTTTTATATAATAATTATGTCAGTACTTAATAAATAGTTACAAATAATTAACATTTTATGTTTATAATACTAATTAAACATATTAGTTTCGTGTTAATTTCATATTACCATGCAAACAAGAAAATAGAGAAAACGTTTATTTTTAAATAAACAGGTTGATAGTGCCAATTTTGATTTTAATGGGTTGAATTGAATATGAGTTTTTTATATTTTTTGTTCGCTTGTTATGTCATTTTCAAGTTTATGTTGAGTTATAATCAAGTTCATGTCATAAAATTCGTGTTAAGTTCGAGTCGTGTCATTGCATTGAGTCAAAATTTTCACCCTAACTAAGATGAAAAAAAAAATATTTTTGTAATTTAAAATTTTTTAAAATATAAATGAATATATATTTTATCATTATATTTTTATATGAAATTAATATATACATAATATATTAATATATCAAAAGATATATAGATAAATAAGATTCATATCAACACAAATAATTAATTTTTTATCCACTTTTCTTCCGATTTTGGAGAGATTGATTTTGATGAATTGGAAGAAAAGTTAATCCATCTAATTTTTCACCCTTCATATTTTTTTTCTTACCAAACATGATGTTTTATTTATTATTATAATTTTTCATTCTTCCATTTTTTTATCATACCAAATGGAGTATAATGCTCATCCTCTTCTACCATAATTTTCTTCCGCTTCACATTCCTCTTCCCAAATTGTCAAGCTCCATCCACAATGAACATAGCCTACCTTGTAAAATTCAAGATAGTTATTGTTAGGGGTAGAAATCACGTGTTCGGATCTCATCCCTGAACACCAAGGATTCTGGCTGGCCTTTACCCTTTTCTAAGGTAATACAGTAGTCTTTACCTCTATCTTACATCGGGTAGGAGTTGTCTCCCCCCTGCCATATAAGTGAACACTTTCTATGGAGGAGGTACCCACTAGGCACCTGATCAGGTCGCTAATGAGAACCTCCTCCATAGGAAGTGTTCACTTATATGACAGGGGGAGAGACGACTCCTACCCGAGTAGGAGTGAAAACTTGAAAACTTGAAGTGATTCCTTCCCCTAGGATGTTCAAAAGTAAGGATGGGTCTGCTAGCTTTGAGACTCCGGTGAAAGATCGGACAGTAGATACCATAAGGAAAGAGATCTCCAACGAGATTTCAGGCAAGGGCTCTCTGAAGAAGTTCGAAATGGCGAAATGAGAGAGGGACAAACACCCAATACGTTACGTATTGACACGTATCACTTTGTCGGATATGGGGTACATCGGTCCCTACATGTACCCGTCCAGGTTGACATTTTCTGCTCCTGCAGAGGCTATTGATGTACAGGTCACTAGCCTAGGCTGGGCTAGGTTAGCCATCATGACCTCATCTTTCACAATTGGTGTCAGAAGGTACGAGAAGACAGAAGACACAACCAATGGGGAATGGGCGCGTGACATATTGTGTCAGATCAGAGACAAAAAGTCCGAGATGCCCTTGCTGACACACGACTTGGAAAACAAACATTTAGTGCACCATTCCCTTGATGAGACATCATTTAATGCAGGAAGACTCGAAAGTGAAAGGTAATAAATGTCCCTATGACTGGATATTTATTACATCTTTGCCGAGAAAAGCTCATTAAACATTCGGCAAGCCGATGACGAAACATTGGTTGCTCGAGGTCCCGAGCAGTTAAGAGAGAAGACATTCCTCATAGAAATCAGTGCACACGTTGTCCGTATCTAATGATCACCTACTGACCACATTGACAGCAATCATGAGTTTTTGAGGTATAAGTACTCCTCATAAAAGGCAAGACGGTATGCAACAAAAAACTTTTTCTCAAAAAAATACACAGTGTTTTCTCCTTCCCATCTCTCAAAGAACTGACTTGATCGTCGGAGGGGGTACACCAAAAAACACTCCAACGCCCTCCTAACTCATTTTTCTCTGTTCCAGGAACCTCCCTCAGCCTTTTTGGACCGCTCCGTTGATCCACAAAAATCACCCATTACCGTTCCAGGCCACCACCGAACCTCACAGTCTGTTCCAAGCAGCAAGGTTGACCATTCGATTGACTGACTCGAGTTCACTACTGAAGAGATCTATTCTCGTGTTTATATTGTACAAAATCCTGCACGCACAGTTATTTTTAAACCACTAAACAATATAGAACATAGTTTTCTCAAAAGATAATGAAAGAGTTGTTTGATCACCTGCGAGGCCTACGAGGCAGACCACTTTGAGCCGACACTGAGAGCATTGAATAGTCACATAGATGATCTAAAGTTATATTCCATTGTTATCGTCGACTCTCTCACTAGTAGTTGGTTCTCTGAATCATTTTGATTTCTTTGAATACAATGGATCGTCGGACCACAAAACATTAATATTGAGTTTGGGAAAACCTTTTTCCCCATTACAAAATTAGGGTCTTACATGATTTGAGTTTTGATAGTTTTAACATTTTTATTATCTTTATTTGCTTTATCCTGATTTTTTATGAGCTTGGTTTGGTGTATTCAAAATTTCTATGATCTGGCCTGTTTTATTTAAGAGCAGCCCATACAATCAGACATGCAGTGGAGACGACGAGTATGTTGAAAGTGGTGTTTCCTTTGCACTCACCAAAATTGGTGAGCATGCTTTCAGTTTACTAGAGTTCTCATTGTTTAGATTATATGCCTTTAACTATGATTCTCACTCTATTTATTTCAAACACAATTCACATGGGTCTCTCTTAACAACCCTTGTGGTTCATTTTATACAATTTCCCTCTATGTTATTCTCTCTCACACATTATTTGTCCGTGCGTTGCCAAGCCAAAGGTATTGATTCAACATATACTACTGTATTAACTTTTTTTATTCTTCAATTTCCATATTTGTTTTATATGAGATATGATCTTCATTAGCACATTGAGCAATGATGAATTGGTGTTACATTGGTTCACCATTCAATCCCCTAATTTCCTCTTTTTATTTCTTTTGTTTTTCTCAATGGGCTGGTGTATTTTTTTAATTTTCACCGGTATGAAAATTTTAGTAGGGTGAAGGAGTTTGCTAGCTAGGTAATCCATAGTACCAATATATTGCTTGTAATCACTATGTATTATTTTGATTGTTGGGGATGCTTGAATGCGAATGAGAAA